AATAGAAGGCCACCCTAAAAAGTTTGATCCGACGGGACACAAGAGAAAGCCATGCCCTTCTATTCTGGGGGGGGGTTTACTTATGATTATAACACACTGTACTGTATATATAACATCCAAACGCTTCTTTTACACATATTTGATGACTAACCCCAGCAGTCTAGATATTCTGACTACCTCAGTTTGTAGAGAATTTCAAGGGCCGTCCAAAAGCATAGTATAGAGAAGTGTATGATGTTTTGTTTATGGCGAAAATCTGGCTAAACGAGTGTTCTGCCGGTGTTTTCGGCACGCTAACGCTTCTTTTAAATGTCTATGCAGACTGACTCAACCAAGACGGTCTGGGTAGCTCAGTTTGTAGAGACTTTCAAGGGCTATCAATTCATGGGTTTTTTATTCTCCGTGAGTGTAAGAAGGATGAGCGAAGTAGCGTTTACTTATTCTGTAGGGCTAGTTTGGAGTTTGCCGAAGTGAATAGTATTATTGAGAAATTAACCGGGTTTTAGTGAGAAATATATCTGATTCCATCTGGGATTGAATACTGCGATGTTTTTCATTGACAGGAAGCCACGTTTATTCGTAAAGAGAGTGGGCCAATTTCTAACCTTGTACGTTCCCGTCCTTTGGAAAATAAACACATACACAGTTCTCAACCATTTTAAGCGTAGTAATTTATTCAAGTATTATTTATCATTAGATACCATTAAAAAATACCTGTTAAGGAAATGATCCATTTTTTGTTTCCAATAGAGGCTAGGGTTCCCCTAAGAGATTTTTTATCGAATAAAACGTTTTCTCGAATTCGTCTGTTTTTAACCTACTTCTATTGATATCTGACACAAAATAAGACTATATTATACGAAAATAATCATTTTTTAACTGTTCTTTCAAAAGAAATGTTGTAAACTGTTTGTTCAAGTACAATCAAAACGCAAAATTATAAGTTCCTACAGTTCAGAACCCGTTTGATTAATAAACGGAGAAGGAGTGTATGGGCGTAAAATAGATAGAATGCTATGGACCTTGTTGAAGATTACGATACCTTTTCAGCATAAATGACAAAAAGATTCCATTTTTTACAGAAGGCGCTAAAATTGCAGGATACATCCTTGTACACTATCAGAAAATTTGAACCACACTGTGATCTTCAGAATTCACAGTTTAGCTTGACTACCGTATCAAAGATGACATTTTGCGACAGTATTGGACTTGGTATACCGCGTGCTATCTCTCTCAATATCACTATTCTTTCTTAAACATGGTAGAGACCGGTGTCGTTTTTGTTTCAAGTTTTTAACTATTGGCGTTCATCAGTTTCCCCGAAAACTCAGTTTTTCATTGTGTCAAATTATGATCCCCGTTAAATTTCATTCATCGAGTTAAAAGTTCTACCAAGCGTACTCAAGATCATATCCCAGCCGTAATTTTGGAAAAAGTTTTTTAAGACCTTTCTTGGTCGAGTTATAGGAAAAATACTGAAAAACGTCTCAAAAACCAACTTTTTCAATTTTAAAAATCCTCTGACTCGTAAAGAAAGGTCCAAAATAAAATTCCCCCAAAAATACCTCTGCAGACTGTTAAACTAGAAACTCGCCGATTTATTGCCGATTTTGACTACATGGGCATGTATAACAGAAATTTCGCGTCTTTCTTTTTACAGTATTTGACGCACCTACTGATAAATACGATCAATGGATTCAGGAACAGGTCAGAGGTGTTCATGCGGCCGTTGTTGTTGCGCCTGTTGCCTACGAACAGGCCCGTATTTCATTAAGATCTGGAGGAAAATTAATCGCTGTGGTAAGTTTTATTTCATTGTGAACAACATTTTGTGTTTCATTCTTTCGATATTGATCATAAATTTTCAAATTGTGACTCGAATTGTGGCTTAAAACCACTTGAACTTCTGTTTGATAAAGAAAAATAGTTTTTAAATAAGATGTTATATGAACACATTGTTGAATTTCTTAAATCGAAGCGAAAAATGAAATATAATACCAGCTGATATCTTTTGGGGCCTAGGTTTCGCGACATGCGAACTATTTTAGGCATTAACAGTCGAAAAACTCTCATTTCCAATATTTGAAACAGTTCTGCGTTCAGTTCAAATTATCGGTACTGTACTCGGCACAAGACAAGATATGAGTAGAGATGTTAGCCGCCGATTTTTCGCCGTCGCTGAAAATAAAACGTCTGCGGAAACTTATCCACCGCCGCCGACCATATCTAGATGCTATTTTGCTTCACAGTACAATATTTGAAGGTTGGCTCATGTATTCCAAAACATTTTCCGCCGCCGTCGCCGAATTTTCTGATTTCGGCGTGACTCATTCGTCGCCGCCGCCGGTTTCCGGAAACTTTTCGCCGCCACCGCCGTAAAATTGATTAGCTAACACCCCTAGATATGAGAGAAGCACTTGAATTGCCTAGACAACACAATATTAAGTGTACTATTCAAAGTCGACCACTTGAAGATACCAATTAAATATTTGATGATATGGCCAACTATCGTATCAGTGGACGAATTGTCATGGATTTTAGAAAATGAAACTTGTTGAGGTTCTTCACCGAATCATTTCTTTAACATGTATCTTCAATGGTATCTAATGATAAATAATATTTGAATAGATTACTACTCTTAAAATGGTTCAGAACTAAGACATTTGGCACTGAGCAACTTTTAATTGACCTTCATTGTACTTCACTAGGACATTTGTTGATGGTGCTTGATGGCAGTAACTTTTTTCGAAATGTATATATTCGTTAACGAGATTCAGCCGTCTATCACAATTTCTAGCATTTGCAACTACGAAAGGGCGAAAAAATGAACAATTTCAATAACTTTTGAAAGAAGCACCATGGGGAGACCTCATTTTGGGGTTTTTACCAACGTGGTATGCTCTGTATACCAACAAATAAATCACTAGAACCAAAGTTAGTCGTGTCCAACGGCCCCTCATAAGCCAAGTGACAAGACTGGAGGTAATGCGCTTCGAACAATTACCACTGATGTTATATATACCTATTTTTGTATTTTAAACTGTTATTCAAATACTTTCTCATAAGTTACTTCTGATCGTTGATGACTCGCACCACTTGCAGCTGCTGCAACAATGATAGCCATCACTGATATTGTTGGAAAAAAATTGATATAATTAAAGCTAAACGTTTGTATATGAACGAACTTGTTAACCAATAATTTACCCTTTGCAAATATCGACAATAAATCCAGTATAGCTTCGTATGATAAACAAACATTAATGAACGTACCACTACCACTTGCTAATGAATCTACAGAACAACCTTATCTATATTTTTAAAATTCGTATAGAAGTAAGACATTGTTTTAATTTGAAAGGTATCTCACATGCAATACTGTGTAAATCGTTTTTCAATTCTAACGAGGGAACCGATTTAACTGTCAAATCGTTTTTCCAATGAGACCTAGTGGATTATCAGTTAGTGACTGTGCTGATTCCGAATATGACCATGGCAGCTGCTTATTAGTCTCCAGAGATTCGGTTTTTGAAAATCAGTTTTTCAGAAGCTCTAGAAGGTAATCAAAACCTTTCTTAGCGAGGCATAATTGCAGTACGCACATTTCTGA